TTCCACAAGTTGGTATGATTCTATAGGGTCTTCATGAAATGTCTGTAATGTAATTTGATTAAAATTCTTCAATGGTCGTGTAAAACAGCACCCTTTCTACCTTGTCAAAAACAACTCTGTTCACAGCAACCTCTTTCAGTGCTCACCCCGCCCCTCTCTTCCGTGGGGTGTGTCGACACAAGGCACGTGAATTGCTGCCTTGGACTCCGTATATGGCTCGGAGGGGGTTTTGTTCAAATAGCTAGCTATCTACGTAGAAACTGGCTGCAAATTTAAACAGTTTGCTGGATGTCTCAGTTTCAGACTCAGACAGCACATAACAAACTGGCTGCGTGTTTCCTTAGCAGCTTTTCTGATCTGGCAGACACACCAGAAATCTAACTAAATGCAAAAAAAAGCTAAACAAGTGAAAATTTGTCCGATATCCCCTGTAAAAATAAAGGTTCAAAAAGGGGTGTTTTGGGATCGCCAAAAAACTTTCAGTGAATAACAACAAAGTTCCATGTAAAGATTGTTAATGGAACCATCAATACCAATAAAGATCCTTTATTTTTAAGAGTGTAGATCAGTCATTTGAGATTTAGAAACCTTGCTCAATCATCCATTCTCACCGTGTGATGTTCTTAGTGGTAAAGGCACTGATGAGCCACTCCATATCCAGAATCTTGAATGGGGAAAGCACCAGGTAGGTGGAGTTGTCCACATCCATAGCGCTCTCAGGATAGAGAAACCGGTGAGTGGTCTTAGAACCCACATCGTTCTCATAACCTTTTGTTGGGCCCATATTTATCCTAGCTTAACAAAGCATGACTGGGTCAAGAAACCATGTGAAAGATCTGAATATACGTATATGCAGAACATAAAATTACTATATTTTCAACCAAATGTTAATGGTGCTTTTTTTTTAGCATATGAAAGAATGATGGCATACTGCAAAGTTGACAACATCTGTAAGTCACTGACTAAACCAGTCTTCTAAGTGACACTTGATCAAATACTGTCATGTCTTGGAAATCAAAAAGCGAGGATTCTCACAAAAAGTCAGACAAGTTCTGTTATATCTCATTCTTTACCTAATGACAAAGTCATGAAGATCTATGCGATGTCCATAATGGGATCCTTTAAGGTTCCCTGAGTTTCCGATCACAGCACAAGACCTGCAGCGCTTTGGACTAGCATCTGAGTATTGTGTTTGATCTGGAAATAGAGAAAACAACTTCTCCACCACTGCAGTGTAGTTGCCTTCTTTCTTATTTTTCTGAAGACCCTGGAATGTCATGTAAAAGAGACTCCATTGAAGAGGTTTTGGTCTTTTTGAGATTTATAGAAAAACAAATGACATTCTTGCATTGAAATTCTGTTCCAAAAACCAGTGACCTGAACTGCAGAGGTAACTCAACTTTGAAACTGATTTCAGTAAAATCATCTGTAAACAAGTTGGCAAGCTAATTACATGATTCTCAAAAATTTAAATACATAGCACACACATATGTTGGGTAAAATTGATCGGCTATTTAAAAGTCAGTTTATCAGTTATTGAAACAGTTTAGTCCACCATCTTGAATGGATTTCTTTCACTGAGCTCATCATAATGCCATAATCCCAATCACAATTACCTTCTCCATGAAGAATACATCTAATGTGAGAATGTGAGCAAAAAAGGTATCAGGAGCACACCTGTGATGTCTTAAAATGCTGCCTACATAACATCTTACTAGTTTTTGGAAAATAATCAATGTCATTTTACAGATCAGTACCTTCCAATACTTGAAGATATCTTCACTGAGGACATAATTTTTCCGGGTGAGCAGTGGTTGAATAGAGAGATCATAGAGTTCATTGAACCAAAAACTGTGGGTTTGCTGTCTGACACAGTCTTTACACGCACACATGCCTTCTGAGACCTCATCCACAGGGGTTTGGTACACCAGGAGCATGCAGAATATGATCACACAAATGACAGCCATCATATAGGAACCCCTATAACGCATTAACACCCACATCTTTGTTCCTTTACGCTCCTGCAGAAAAAAGGGATAAAGTTCTAGGCTGGTATAGTACGAGGCAAA